TAATGTCCTAAGAGATTTACAATGAATCAATTTAACCACTGATTTAACTATGGAAAAGTATTTACCATATTTTTAATGTCCTAAGAGATTTACAATGAATCAATTTAACCACTGATTTAACTATGGAAAAGTATTTACCATATTTTTAATGTCCTAAGAAATTTACAGCTAGCATTTATTTTTACAAGATTAACATTCTGACATGGAAAGCTTGCTAACCTTCTCGGAAATATGTGCAAATGTTTCTTTATGGGATATAACTTTTTCAGTTTTTACAGATTTCTTATACGAACTCAGAGAATTTTCACATGTGTATATATTTATATTTACTTATTAATATTTTTTTTCTGTTAATTTCTATTTTATGTGACATCTAGTTTGTCCTCTTCTAATTTCACTTGTTTTGCTACTTCAGCAGAGAGATAAGATAGGATTTAAAAAGATAGCATCCATACTGGCAGAATCCACTGTTCTCAGATTTTTATTATTTTATTCTGATCTATTTATTTCTTACAGCGAACTTGCAGCGTCTTGTAGACTGTAATACGTCTTAAAATAAACTTCTTAATTTATGTTGGTTGGGTTTGCTTTCTTATAGGTACTAAGGATTTGTGAGTTTTATACTGTAGCTTTGACTTTTCCTTCTTACTTATAAATAACTATTTCCTTTTGTTACTTGTATTCTAATGCTTGCTTTTACCTACTTTAAATTCTAATATTCGCACTTAGTTTTCCTCATTTCTCTTATACATTATCAATAAATGTTCTAAATTTAAGCTATTAAAAAATAATGATATTACACACAAAAAATAAAGTGGAAAGTTAACACTGATGTTGTTGACATTGGGCCTATTAGTAGTTCCATGGCGCTGTCCAGTAGAAATTCAGCAGCCAATTTCCAGAATCAGCTACATATAATAACTGAATAAAAGAGAAGAAACTCTTTGATACCATTTTCCATCATTCTCTTATGAAATATAATGATATTTTTAGGAAGACATTTCCACATGGTCAGACATAACTCATCTCAAATGGAAAGAAAACATTAGGATCAGAGGAGAACATTTCTCTCAAAAGATATTAAGATTGACTACTTGTAGGCTATCCAAGGATCATGTAAGTAAAATAATAGAAAAAAACTGAAAGTCACGCTAGGTGCTTAAAATATTCGGGTCTCGAACTCATTGGCGCAGGAATTTTCGGAGTTTCAGTATGATACCAATCATGGTTTTCTATTCTCAATTTTCAAGACACCAGCTGAGTATTCGAGGCATTGTTAAGCAGATCAAGGCACGGGCCCCGTGTACCAGTGCCTAGCGACGCCTCTGAAAAAACACAGGCCCCCTAGGAACAGCTAACACTGAATGAGCTGATGTGGCTAACTTAAAACCAGCACGATTTGCCAACTGGGAAGTGATCCATGTATAGTAACTCTTAAGTATTCCGAACTGTCCTGACTTGATCAGTCTCATTCACCTTGGACTCAAAGACAGAAGTCTGTGATAGATCACCCGAGGTTTCTACCCATTAAAGCGTGAAAATAAAGAAGCAATATCATGGTTAGAGATGAAGTCCTTCGAAGAAGGAAAATCTTATATTGAAAGAAGTGAAACATGGAGGCTTCTGTCAAGTAGGTACTCAAAACGTAATGCTAAATACTGAGAAAGAGCAATAGTAACCTAGTTAAAAGAAAGAGAAATAAAAAGAATAAATATTCCATAGCAAGACCATATTCACTGTGAAGACTGAGATACAAAGGTAGTCAGCCACATATTAAATGAGTTAAAAGTCACATCTGGATCTGTAGAGTTTGGGAATTGTTGCTGTAGAAAATATCCAAAGTAGTCTGCATCTCAAAAAAGTGAAAATCATAGCCAATATAACTTATTAAAATAATATATACAACAGGTTTACGATTTAAGAAAAGCAGTTTCACTACCTATTTACAACCAATCACCTCAATAAAACTTGAACAGTTTGAGTAGCTGATAGATAAGATATCACTTTCTGTTGGAATTGGAAATATCCTGATTGAACTAAGGCTAACTGGAATGAATACATTGTGGTAGAGGAAATTCTTCAGCTTCACATACAAGGCAGAGTTGCAGACCTAGTTAAAGGAGTTTATCTTGATACCCTACCCATTTTCCATAACAAAGACTGTCCAGACGTGTAAATAGTAGTTACGTTTATCTTAAGATACTAAACAAATGTGTTTTCCCACATATAACTGTGAATAGCACCTGTACCTTCTATGAAGCAGTGTCATTTTTCACCAGTAAGTACAGGGTAGTAAGGTCTGAGACCACTACACACAAAAAAAGAACAAATATAGCAATTTCCATCATTGTCCATTTATCCAGGTTAAAACTAAAAGGATAAGCAAGATGAAAACTTTCCAGAGTAAGGTATTCACAAATTAATTGTGGAGTTTCAAAATCACACAGTTATGTAATCTAAACCAGTTTATTTTCATCATTGTCCATTTATCCAGGTTAAAACTAAAAGGGTAAGCAAGATGAAAACTTTCCAGAGTAAGGTATTCACAAATTAATTGTGGAGTTTCAAAATCATACAGTCATGTAATCTAAATCAGTTTATTGGGCAGAAAGTAACGGTTAGTATTTTGAGAAGTAAAAGCAGTCATTGCATTGAAACATTATCTTAATGAATTGGACTGTTAAATCATATAGTATAACAGAAGTAGGAAGAAACTACAAAGATAACAATCTAGACCAAATATAACTACGACCTTGGATCCAGATATTGAATGTTAATCTCACTGTGTAATTTTTTCACCCTATCAGGACTCTATAAACGTAAGTAGTTCAAAAAATCAAGAAATGAAAAATGAAAAACAAATTCTACCTTTTTACGATTCTAAAATGGATGAGAAGAATGGGTATGGCTTTATGAGCAGATCATAAAGAAATAATGATGCACTTTTGTCCATCTGATTTGCATTGCAGAAACTAAGCCAGAAAAGTTGATTCAATATGTTTATGAAAGTAAAACAGTGAGGTTTTTATGTTGTGGAGGGCAATAAGAAAGAGAGAGGGGTCAGTTTATGTATCAACATCTAATAAACCAAATGCAGAGGAAAGCGGGAATACTACAGACAAAAGATGAAAGCCACAATTTCATTCAGGATGAAGAAGTGTCGAATACAAAATGTGTTACAAGTTTTATCTCTTTTTCGTAGTGTAGTGCAAAAGGAATAAAACTATCAGCCAATAGCTTAACTTAGAAAGGCGGTGGAGAAACATTTTGAACATCAAAAAGTGGTGACAAAAATAGCAAAGTTTCTGATGGTGGGGAATCTCAAAAAGTGAATGATAAGAAACAGTCAATTGTTTATCGAAGTACAACGACTAACAATTTAGGAGAGAAACCTATAAGACTGAAAACAAACTTGCCCTATGTGTGACAATAAAACAAAGACACAGCATCGGTTATGAAGAGTGCATTAATATTCAGTCTATAACGTGTACCATATCAGTCCTTCAGAGATTGGGATAATTTTCAGCCATGTGAAACTCTTGGTGAGAAAAATCACTACATCCCCCGGGGTACAAGAGGGTGAGAAAGAGATTGTAAAGATTCTTCAAGTTAATAATAAGTTTTAATAAGGAATATAAACTTATCAATTTCAGCTGCCTAAGGAGTCAACCTTCTAGGAATCCTTTGTCGTTTCTAGGTCTGAAATAATAAGCACCACTAAGTTAACATCTAATTTAATGAATCTATTGTTCATAAGTATAAATGTGAATCACTGCAGTACTCTTTTTGTCACATTGAGCCATAGTGGTTAAAATGGCTGAATAACTAGTCAGTTTATAAGAAATTGCATCTCTAGATTTCAATCTGTAGTAACAGACTTCAGAGCCAGATTAAGTTTAATTAATTGTGAGGGGCTAATATATTTTAAGACAATTTTTGTATCTTATGCAATGATTTTTCACAATATTGGTCATTTGTTTGTTTAAACAGGAATTGAAGCATCACTTTAGCTTGTCTACTTTATTTTTAAATAAAATATCTATTTTATTATTATTATTGGAATGAGCAGGTGTGCTCAATGTCAGAAGAAGTATAACTTCTGTACGTTCCCTTCACTGTAGATATCAGTATTAGAGTTAGAAGTCAATGATGTGTTAG